TTTTTTTTTTGTTATTATCGAAACAGCCCAAAAATGGGGTTTCCCCAAGGACCTTCCTTTCAAAAGTCGTTATAGTTTTTTTTTTTTATCAAGGTTCATGTCTCTGAGGCAAAAGTCAAAACTGATTTAAATAAATATAAATACAGTAATACCCCAAATTCAAGCGATAGGTAAGACGGAGTGATAACCACGTAGGTCAAATTCGCATAAATCGGGGTATAATTTTGCATATGAATACATATAAATTGTTTTTATTTAAGATGGAAAACGGGAAAAAAAAATTATAATTTAGGGGGAAAAATGTTTAACAAATTTTAGATAACACACATACTCAAAGACGCACACAAAGGGTGCCATTGGGTACATGTGCTTCATTTTGACCATAGATATTATTTCTCGATGTTTTTCTCAATGTTTTTCAATACCTACTATTAGCTCACACTCTTTATATATTTATCTCGGTGGAATTTTCAATCGTTAATAAAATACATTTTAAAGTGCTCCATTGGGGGGTTTTCACGATTATTTTGGATGAAAAAAGTAATTTAATTGTAATTAATAAATATTTTTTGATTGAAACTAATTAAAAAAATTGTAAATCAAATTTTGGTTTTTGGCGACTTGTTTAAAAAACTTAAAAAGGGTTTTTTTCTCACTTTTTAAAAAGCTCTCTTTGAGCTGAAATTTTTTACACTTTTTTTTGGTGAAAATTCGATAATTTAAAAATTTTGAATGAAACAAATTTTTTAAAAAATTAAGAAAAAGTTGGTTTCTTTTAGTGACTTGGGTCAAGACTTAAAAGTTTTTTTTCCCCTCACGTAAAAAGATTCAGTTAAACTAAAATTTTTTAACCCCCTTTTTTGGATGACAATACGATACTTTTTTTCTATAATAAAATTAATGAAAATGTTGCGATTCTCCCATGTATATACATATTTATATTAATTGAACTAAAAAAAAGTGAAAAAGAAATTTTTTTTGTTTATGAAGGAAATTGACTTAAATTTTTTTTTATATTACTTGTTTTAAATGTAACCCCCTTTCCCCTGGGGGCTTTTGTACGTCACTGTTGAAGATAATTAGAACATTTCATCTCTATTTGAGTCTCGTCTACCCTTAAAACTCGTTAATATCAAACAACATCAACACCTAATCATTTGCCACCACCCCCGACGATTCCAACCGTGTGGTGATTTATACATGCCCAATAAAATCCGGGTCGGTTACAAATCGCAGTTACACCACATACCTGTTAATCACCCTTTCCCCAACCCCCCCATCCCCTCACGCATCGAAATTCCCAAACAATACACCCGACGTCATTTAAGTTCCTCATCCGTTACATAAAACGAAATAATAACGTGCCCTTTCCCCTCTGCAGGTCTCACCCCTCCATTATTAACCCGACTCGGTACTTTTGAGCAGTCGTCGAAGGACAAAGGGAATTGACACGCCACGCGTCAAATGCAGCTGCACGGGTCTGCAAAGGTACAACGATCCGTGCCCTCATGGTGCAGTGGACTATTGAAAGCGGGAATGATCTGACCGCTGTGCATTTCACCTCCGCAGCGGCGCTTAGGGGTTAAAATGTTCATTATTCAACGATTATCTGCAATCCATGCATAGGACACCGGCTATGACACTACGAGAAAAAGAAGGATCGATTTGGTCTGGAGAGACGCGAAAAGTTTCGGTTGTTGTGAAACTACGAGTATCTTTGATTTAATTTAGTTCGATCCCAGGTTGATTTTCGAAATCGAGATTAACCTTTTAAATACGTTTCCCCAAACTGGGATTGGTGTGGTGTGGTAGTTGGGAGGGTTTCCATCGGTGTCGTCACGTCACTTGACCATTTAAAAATTACGTGGTCCGCCCCAAAAGCCCTCGTGTGCTAAAGGGTTGGGCGTTAATATTCACTCACTCCTCACTCAAACGGGGGGCGCCCCCCTAAGGGGCGTGAAAACTCAAAGGGGGGCGGCATATTAAAAGTAGAAAACAAAATATTTTTTAAAAAAAATTAATTTTTTACTGAATCAAAAAAAATAATTCTGACATAATAAAAAAAAAACACATTTATAAATGTATCAGTACTTAATGTATTTTAAAATTTAAATTGACTAAAGTTAAGACAAGTTTTAATTCCGGGACTCCTGGGCTTATCATATATACAATTGTATACAAATTTTAAACTCTTATCTTGTTTTGTCGGTTTATAATTAATCCCAAGTGTTGAGATAAAATTTATACGTTTCCCTCCCCAATGCCACTGTTTTTCATGTAGGGCGCGAATGAGATGTTTGGGGGGAGGAGAAAAAAATGGGGGTTAAAAATCCTCTGAAATAAGTAAATCCTTCAAAACACTGTCAAGGTCCTTTTTTTTCAGAATAATTTTATGGATAATGTGCACAAAAAAAGACGTACTTGGAAAAATTTTATATACGTCGGACCCTTAACATTTTTGACCAAGGTGTTTTATATGTCGGTGGGTTTGAGAGGTTAAAGTCGTATTGCGCTTTAGCATCAAAACATAGTATTTTAATTCAATACATTTTTAAAGTATGGAAAGGGGCGATGGAAATTATGACTGAAAATTTGGGGCCAAGAATCGAAAGTTTGAAAACTTTTCTTAATGCAAAGGGTTTTAAACTCAAAAAGGTGATTTGGGCCAGATAAACAAAGTTTAACTTAAGGGAACCAGGACACATCATACACATTCAAAAACTCCTTTTTTCAATTTGAGTATTAAGCAAGTAATATAAAAAAAATTAAGTCAATTCTCCTACTTAGATCAACGAAGAAAATTTTTTATTTTAGTTACTTTTTATTAAATAATTACAGTTAATACAAATATGCATATACATAGAAAAGAATCACAATGTTAAGTGGCAAAATAGAAAGCAATTTTCCTTTCTCTATTGGGTATTGAACTATTACTTTTGTTGGTAACTATTTATTCATTCATAAATCACATTCTCAGAAATTAGGCAATCCCAGGTAGGATTCAAACCTACAGCCTTTGGAATAGAAGTCCAACGCGCTATCCATTGCGTTACATAGACACAACAAGCGATTTTTCTTTTTATATAGGATGTTGGACAATTATTTTTGTTTGTTAATATTTATTCATATTTTAATTTAATTAACGAATTAATATTTGAAAAAACTATATTAACATCAAGTGTCATCCAAACTACAAGTTTTAAAAAATTGTATTTGTATTTGAGCTTGAAGGGATGAATAGAAAGTATTTTTTATCAACGATCAAAAATCGAAACAATATATATATATATATATATATATATATATATATATATATATATATATACAGGGGCACACGGGGGTCCTGGGGTCAACCCCAACCCTTGATTTTTTTCCCATTGGTTTTTAATTCTAAGTATATAAAACGTAAAAATTTTAAATTTAAATATTTTTATTAATGATTAATTTTATTATTTCTAATTTTTATTCAATAATTATTTTTTTTCTGTGTTTTTTCCTGAAAATTGACAAAATCAAAAATAGCATGATACAAGAATGGTGAACTTTAAACCCCCGGACCCCCCCCCCCTTAAAAAAAATTCCCTGTTGCGCTACTGTATATATATATATATATATATATAGGGGAGAGTATGAACTATAATAATAGAAATTGCAAAATAGTTCATACTTTTCTGAATCTAAAAATGTATATCATTTATGTGTTCGTTGATTAAATAACCTTAAAATATGAAAAAAGTAATGGAAAAATGTAAAAAACGTTTACAAATTTTGTTTTTTTTTTTTTCTAAAAAGCATAATTTTTTTTTTTAGGTCATTTTCAGAAAAACTATTGCAATGTAGGGCTCCAAATTTTTGTTACTTCTATGCAGGATACCAGAGCATATAGTGAACCTATTTCTTCTAGTCGAAGTAATACATAGTTTTTAAAAAAAATAGATTTATGTATAAAAAAAAGGGGGAGGGGGGAATAAAAATTTTCAAAATTACAAGGTTTTCATAATTTTGTTAAAGAAACTATCTTAAAATTTTACTAAAAAAATACTTTCACTCTAAATTTGTGTATTGTTTTACTTATGTTCAAAAATATTTTGCATATTTAAGAGATGCATTTTTTTTTTTAAAAAAAGTGGTACCTAAGCATAAGCATGTATTATTATGAGATTTCAAAAATAATGTCCAACTTCAATTAAACAGAAAAAAAAAATTAAAAAATTAATTTGTATTTCTACAGAATGATTAAAATATCTTTATTAAGATCCAAAAAAAAAAAGTAAGCTTTATTGAAAATTTTAAAGATATACCAAAAACCACTATAATCACACTTTTTTAAAAAACACTTACGGGTTACGATACTTTTAATGATAAAGAATAAAAAGAATTACCATTTAAATTTTTGATTCTGTCATATGTATATATTTATTTATTAATTTTAACGATTTACTAAAAATAACAAAATAAAAAAAATTTTCCCTTTTTTGATCAAGTAAAAATTAACTTAATTTTTTTTTTACATTATTTTTTTGACCCAAGACCCCTTTTTTTTTGTTTCTTCTCGCTTTCTAAAGCTCGAATAACTATTTTTGTTGTTTATTTTTACTTTTTCTTGCCAATCTGACATCGTTGTTGGGTTTCCAAAAAAGTGTAAAATTGGAATATTTGCGGGGGATCAGTGGCGCCAAAAGGGGCTGGGTCCACCCCCAAAACCCTTGATTTTTTTTCCAGCTATAATTCTAAGTATATAGTACGTAAAATTTAATTAAAAATTTGTTATTACTGATTAATTTTTTTTAATTAATATTTAAATTTTTTATTCAATAAATTTGTTTTTTATTGTGTTTTGTTCCCGAAAATCGACAAAATCAAAAGGAGCCTGATACAAAAATGGGGAACTTTCGACCCCGGACCTCCCCTTGAAAAATTCCTGTGTACGCTACTGCCGGAGATCGATAAGTACGACACTGACTCTCATACGAATCTATTTGTAATGAAGAAATGGAACAAAAATGACATTATACTTATGTAACGCATGTGGAAAAGCTTTTTGTTCCTAGGAACGTCGAGCAATTTCACAAAAATTTGTCATTCTAATTTTAATTTTTAATTTTTTTCAAATTTTTGCAACCCAGACATTTTTTTTTAACTTTTGTAATTTTATACAATCCCAATAAAAGAAAATCTATGTTATAATGTTTCCTGCGCTGGTCTCACACTGGTTGTGCACCCTAATAAGCCATGTACCCACGTGTGTTTACAATGGGATATTTTGCCCTATACACAGTATTTGTGCGGAAAATGATAAAATGCTTTCATAAAAACCCTAAAAGTGATCAATTCCGGAAGATGTTAAAACAACGTCTCTTTTCCCCAGTTTAAAGAAAGTGTTTTGACCATCCAAAGGGTCTTAGGTTCTGGATCCCCCCCCCACACCCTTGTTTTTTTTTGATTGATTAAAAAAAATATATAGTACGAAAAATTTAAAAAATTTTGTTATTAATGATTGATTTTATTAATTAATACTTTATTTTTAAATTGTTTTACTTTTTTTTTTCCCCAAAAACCCAAAACAAAAGGAGCATGACACAAAAATTGGATTTTTCGACCTGGACCACCCCTTGAAAAATTCCTGTTTGGTTTTACTGATTTGAACAAATCCCAAACTGTTTTGTGAAATGAACAAGTGGCAAAAGCTCTGTTTTTTGCTTTTTCTACTCCCTTTTACCTCCCCTCTCTCTTCGACCCTGCCAGGCGCGCCCTTCTGACGTATCCCCCAAAAACCTAAAAATATTTTTTTTTTTAGTTTTATTTAGTTATATTCCTCGCATTATTATCTTTCGATTGATATATCTTTTTTTTTATGCCGAAATTGAAACTGGATAAAAATTCAATTGAAAATGTAAAAAAAAAATTCAACCCCCTCTTTATAGATGAGAAAAAAAGCTATTTTAAAAGGGAAATAATAACTAAAAAAAAAAGGTGTTATAAATAAAGCAGGATATTTCTGAAGTACTACTACATTAATGTATAATTTTTAAAAAAAATGTCTGAAATTCTACATCAAATATCCTTTTTTTTTAAAAAAAAATTACCAGCTTTATTATCTAATTATTTTGTTAATTAATTTCGAATAAATAGTTTGTAATTCAATGATTATTGTTGTATTAAATACTGTACTTTTAAAAATGCACCATATTTGTTAAATAAACACTTTTAAACTCTTGACAATATTATTTCACCATTTCACTGAAAAAGGTTCGGGATTTGATCAAATCACCCCCATTTTCCTTGGAAATCCCAAAATTCTTATTTTTTAACATCTTTTCTGAATTGAATCTCTTAGGGATTTGGTGAAAGCCCCAATTTTTTTTATTTCCAGGCATATCCCCCAGTATTACATTCAAGGGGTTAAGAATATTTGAATAAATTTTAAATTTTGATTTAAAAAAATGAAATGTAAATCCTCGTAAATAAGATTGCATTTTTTTTAGGTAATTTATCCCTATTTATGAACATTTCAGAGATTATTTGTCAAAATCTTCTATTCTAAAAGCATTATCCCATTTTAATAATGTTACTACGATGCTAAAAACTGTCACATTAATTAATTTTTAGGATTAATTTAAACCGTTAAGCCAGTGCTGCTCAAAGTTTCAATATCCGCGATCAATCATAATTTTCATGCCCCTCCTCAACTTAAAATTTTTTTGAATTCCTTTAAATATACTTTGACGCTAAAGCTTCAATACGACTTAAAAACCCCTTTCACTGGCATATAAACTTCTTCCAGCCAAAACGTTCCCTCGGACGTATATTTACGTCTTTCAGAGGCGTCTTTTCTGTGCCGATATCCATTTAAAAAACCAAAGGGGGTCTAAAAGAACTTGACGTGTTTTGAGGGTTTACACTTCAGATTATTTGTTTTTATTCCCTCCCATCCCCCCCCCTAATACATCGCATAAAACGTGCCCATGTGGAAAACGATTGGGAAGGGGGAAAAAAACAAAAAATTTTTTCGACAGTTAAAGGATTAATTTTAAGCAACAAAAATTTTAAAAATAAGTGTTAATTTTTTTTTAATTTTTAAAATATGACAAATCATGGGGCCCCTGGTAATCAGTAAATTTGTTCTTAACTTTTTACTGTTAAATTAATTATAGAATACTTTTTACACTGATACATTTATAAAAAGTTTTATCAATGTAAATTTTTGTATTTTTATTTTTTTTATGTCGAATTTTTTATTAATTTACTGGAAGGTAAACAAACAAATTTAATTAAATAAATTTTTTTTTCCTACTTTTTTAAAAGCCCCCCTCGGGTTTCCCGGGCCCCAAAGGGGTGGCCCCCCAGTTTGGAAAAATGCGTTAACGATCTACCAAGGAGTGGGGGAACAAACCGGATAATTAACAATGTCTAGTCGCCATTGACTTTCCAATCTTATCTCCTCTCGATTACCCTTTACGAGACTCCTGGCTCCGGTTTTGGGGTCCCCAAAAAGTTAGAATTGAACAATGGAAAGACTTAATGTTATCTTATACCATAATGGGTTGGAAAGTGT